CATATTGCTTAGATGTCCGTCCCAAGTCCAGCATCATTCTACCAGAATAACAATGACTAGTCTATGAACCCAAGTTAGAGAACTAGGTAGGAATAATCTGAAGGAAGTCCAATGAGGAAATAGATACACTGATATACAATCAGGAAAAAAAAAAATTCCCCTACTGCCATGTGGCTATCAAGAAGGTGGCCGTAGAGACAGACAGCCTGGGCTGTGGGCCAGCTCACACTTACTGCTGAGACCCTGAGCAGAGGCCTAACGGCCCGAGACTCAGCTTTCCTCCGCTGCACAACGAGGACAAGAGCACCGTCTACACTACCGGGGCTCCCAGGAGGAGTCTACCATGCCTGGCAGAGTTAAACATTCACCGCAGGTCTGTTGGTCTCCCCTCAGGCCAAACAAACTTCCTGCCACCCCCACCAACCATGCTGGGCGTGGATTTCTGCGTGCCGGGGGCAGCCTGCTGTACGGGACTGACCGGTCCTGGCGAGAGCACCCCCTTTTCCTCTGCGACGAGTCCCTGTCTAGATGATAAACCATGGCCCCCCTAACAGATGATACCTGTGTCTCTTCGTTCTGGACTCTACACATTCCTCCTGCTCTTCTCAATTCAAGGTTTTCAACTCCTGTCTCCTCCTCCTGGGATTTTTCCACGGCCTACTTTTCAGAACCACTGGTTTTCCTAAGCGGAATGGGCATTAGTAGGTCCATTTTCCATGTGTGAAAACAGGTAGAAAGAGGAAGGCTAAATTCAGAAATCCCAGAAATATGTATTCCTGGGTGCTGGCCCCTAACACAAACTGCTCAGAAGAAACTACCAGATCTAGAGATCTGGTCTTCAGATGCAGAAACTCAGACTCCGTCCTGAAGTCCCTAACAGAGGGAAATATAGTATTTTGTACATTTATATTACCTACATATGCCTTTTTGAAGATTCAGATGAGATAAGGTATGATCTAAATGAGAGATGGGTACATGTCTAGAATGGGAGGGGGCTTCAAACTAAGGGAGAAAAAGACTGGGTTCAGTCAGAAATACAGTGTATTTGGAGATGCAGGACTATGGGAAACAGGAGCACTTAATGATGTCTTGCATTACAGCCCTCAAAACACTCTGAATTAAAATGTGGTGTCAAAAAAAGTCCTCAGAACACTGTGTGTCAGCTCTACTTCAACAAAAAACAGACAAAAAAACTTCGAAACACCCCTGTGAGGTAAGCAAATAACACCTCATTCCTTCAGCAGAAATAAAGGCTTACAGAAGGGAAAGGATTCACCCCAGGACACAGGACAGGGTAACTGAGTGGGAACCAGGATTCAGGTCCTCCTCTTGGATTCCTTCTACCCCATGCAACTGCCTGGGAGCTTTGCTAGCAAAAGATGGCCATCAAATCTCCTGAGCGTGGCCTGTAAGTGGTGTGACCTTATAACTCATCAAACAAACCAGAACTCTCGAGAATAAAGCGGACCACTCTGTAATTACATGGACAACAGGAGTAAACCAGGACTGCGTCACTCAAACTGGGAGGTATGGTCACACTGTACCCTGCCTTTGTATTCTACTATCCTGATTTTCACATTGAACAGCACAAACTATTTAAGACTTTGTGCTATTTACCCTTTTGGTTCACAGAGGCAATCTGTCTAGTTGGATTCAGTCACTGACTGAGTTTCTTAAAGTGTTTTAACCTGTGCTGTTTATGCACCCAAAAAATGAAGATTACCTGTTCTAACAACTTTCTCCCCCAAAGGAAAAACACACACCCTGGGCAGATCAAAGCCAGTGAGTTTCTGAAGATTGTTCAAATAGGATCACCTGACGTGTATATCCCAAACCCCTCTTACTGGACACCCTCCTCTTCCTTGATAGCCAACGTGTCATAAGATCCTGTCCATTTTATCTCATGGGTTCCCAGTCAACGGATACAATGGATACAATCTCCTCCAACCCCAGTGCCGCTATCTACCATCTTCATCCCCATCTGTCTCCTGAAACAGATTGGTCCCTCCTTTTCGTTTCCTCTAATCTCTCTCCACTCTGCAGCCTGAACGAGCCATCCCAAACCCTCACGAGCCACACAGCCCTCCCATTCTCAAAGCCTGACACAGCTTCTTTCTCCATCTTTTCTCTTCCTCCTGCACAGAGGTGCTGACGTGCTCCTTTCCCGAGGAAACAGTGATGAAGCAGTGAGGCTGGAGGGATAAGGAGAGCAGCTGCTGACCAGTTCCTGATTATCCTCAAGTTATCAGATGAAATGAAACTTAATTCCTGGAAGCTTTCATACTAAACCTGTTAGGACTCTTATAATTTAGTGATTTGCCTCCTCTAATGCACTGTACCCTACACAAAAGCACAGGTACCCTCAGTGCCTAACAACCTCCCCGACACAGAATAAAGCTCAAAAGTTTGCTGTTGAAAGAATAAATGAATATGTGTGTATGAGTAATGTAGAGTTGTATGTATTGAATCACAAACTGCCCTGGGCAGGTCACAAACATGACTTTTTTTTTTTTTTTTTAGGAATGCCCATTAATTTCTTAGTACAGTTTTTAAATCAATGGTTCCTACATTTAATGGGAATTTTTTTTTTCAACCAATTACTATGGCAGTGAGACTGCCTATGTATTTTTCTAAAGAACAAAGAACAACTTATCAAATTTCTAAAGCACAGTACTAGGTGGGTCTTATCTGGGGGTTGAGTGGCTAAAATTCAAGAAAACCCCTGGAACAGAAGAGAGTCCTGAGAAGTTCCTGGGCTCTCTTCTCTGCTGGGCCAAGCAGTCCTGGCCTAAGAGATGCCCACCCTGGGGCCAACCATGGGGAAGGCTGGAATAGGGAGTTAGACCCTAGCCCAAGGAAATCAAAGTTGTTCTGCTTCTGTCCCGGAGGGGCCTATGGAGCTTTCTGGACCTGAGGTGACCTACAAGCATCACTGCTGGGATGACTTTTATCAGGTCATTTCTATGAAAAGGCATATATTCCACAATGTGAGGAAAAAATAGACTAAAGAAAAATAATATGTTGGATTTGAAGTTTTGCCCTCACTTATAAGTTAAAAGTAAAGAATCTCTGTAGGGGAAATAAAAAAGCATTACCTATAAATTTGGGCATAAGATAGAGCTGACTAAACTTACTACCACCAGGCACTCAGACTATTCTCAGACCCTGTCAGTCCTCAGAAGAAGTCCAACATTAATTTAGGGCTAGTGGATTAACTTCTTTGTAAAGTCCTTGGTCAAACCACTTTTGTAGTATATGTGTGTGTGGACTTATGTCCAAGTCTGGAGGAGTCTCAGCTTCATTCCAATGAAATCTCTCTTCTACCTTTTGCTCTCCTAGGCTCAGGAAAATGTTTACATTGCTTTTGAAGAAAAGGAACTCAATTATTGGCGGGATCAAGTCCCCCACACTGACTCTAAGTCTTACAAGAGGTAATAATGCAGTTTAAAGAAATCAGACTTAAGTTGCCTCTCAGATGATCTGCATTCAAAAATGACTGTACTGATCCTCACTTCAATAATGCTAAGTCCTAGTGTCAAGATCATGGATTTTTCTGGACGGATGTCAGAAATAAAGATACAAAGCATTTAGCTTCTGAAGGAATACAGCATACTATTTCCCAAAGACAAAGACTTAGTTTTTCAATCTCTTCCTAAACATTCACCTTTAGAATTTAGTGGCCTACAAAATATTCCTACCATACATAACAGCCCCAAAGTGTTCTTGTGTAAGTGATGTTTTAGTGAAGGCAACTACTGTGTTTCATGGTATTACTAGCTTAAATGGAGTAGGACAAATTCTCTCCAAAGGATGTTAATAGAAATTAAAACAACAACAACAACAACAACACCAAACAAGATCCTTAAATATGTTAGCCACAAGATGCCAATAAAATCGAATTTATGTCTAGCTTAATTCAACAATGGAAAAGTCAGCAGTTAAAGAGTAGATAAACTTCCCTTTGTCCCTCTTTTCCTGAGAAACTTTCAAATGTTGAAAATCAATTCCTTTTGTCCTCTTGTTATTCATCTGCTACACATTAAATAGAAACTCTGGGCATCGAGTGATCTACGGAGAAGCCTGGTACAAATTAAATTCTTACTCTCCCTCACAAATTATAGATATGTATTGTAGTAGGCCATTGATTTATCAGTGGACGCTCTTGCCAGTTCAGCTCGGTGAGACTAGCTAACTATATATAGTCCTTTATCTGAAGTTACCATGGGGTGGGGGGTGACTGTGGGGCCGCATTAATTAATTAATGCAAAGCATTACCACGTTGTTCTGACTTTCCAGGCTCTATTTTAAAAAGCATTCTGTTAAGTACCGTGTTTTAGTTACTTCCTAGATCCTTGAGCCATTTGGGTTATGGGTGTGTATTTTAATATACTCAAGTAACACCAAATAATATTACCTCCAGTGCGATGTGATCTATGAAATGACCAGCATAATGGTTATTATAAATAACACGGAAAAACAGACTGTGTGGTGGATCTCTTAGAAAGGTTGAACTGATGCAGACGCCGTTTTCCTACAGGAATTTAGGCCCCATAGCGAAGGGAGTGGCTGCGATGCCAGCCCCACAGTAGGGCTTTGGAGAGCATGTCTGCACAGGGCGTCCCTATGGAACCCCTTCTACTAGAAGAAAACCGCACACAGACACTGACAGAGGCACGCGCACACAGCCGAGTCCGGAGCCCTAAACTGCGAGGAAGTTGTGAGCATTTCCCTTTCATCTGTTATCCACCAAAAACGTTAAAAACCCTTCTTGGCAGAGCTGTCCTTTTGGGTCATTAATAAAGACATCTGCTCAAGTTCTTCATGGATTCCACAAGTGCCAGGACTCCTCCCAAATTATCCTAATTTCCACCCCCCACCCCAGAGATGGGTTCGTCTACAACCCAATACCCACTTTTATTGGGGACCTCCTGGACTCCAAACCGAGAACTCGCCTTATGGAAACGATCTGCTTGCCATGCAAGCTCCCACCAGCACCTCACCTCGCTCGAATCCTCCTGCTGATTGATGACGGCCAGCGCGTCCTCCGCCGCCTGCCGCTTGGCCTCGGCCACTGTGCGCTCCATCTTGGCGCGCTCGGTCGTGATCATGTCATGGGCTTTCCGCTCGGCCTCCGACACCGCCTTCTGCAGCTCGGTCATCGCCTGGCGCTTCACCTCGTTGACCGCCTCCTCTGTGTGCCAGGAAGGCCGCACCGGACAAGAGAACGTTTCCCTGTTAGCGCAGGACCTTGGCCACTGACCGCTGTTAAACACAATTCTAGAGAAGGGGCGTGACTCTCATCGCAATTATTGGGCAGTTCTCCTGGCTGCCTAAAAACCCAGCAGCTTTCTGAAATTCATTTAGGAAAACAAAGGGTGAGGTTTTTTTTTGTTTTTTTTTTTTTCTTTAACTTGAGTGTCTGGGAATATTTTTAAAACTACTACTGCATCACTACAACTTTTCTACCAAACTAGTACCTCCAGAAATGATCAGGAAACCGGACTTCAGTAGTTAAAGGACGAATGCCACTACCAGAAACCTGCCTGGAATAATTCAGACACGTTGAGGCGGTTTGCTACAGGGCTATAGGTTAACATGCACACAGGGAGTCCATGTTCAAAAGCTTTCAGAAGAGGAAGGGGATGGATTTTACACATATACACATCTAAGTGCTAGCAATTGTTTTGCTGGTGAAAGACAGCACAATAGTGAAACATACAGCAGTATAGTGAAGGTAATTCACATGGCAATTATGTCAATGTAGACCTTGCAAAGAAAATCCAGGAAGAAACAGATGATCTGGCTTTTCTTTTTCCTAAGTCATTTCCCGAGTCATGTGGATTTATGCCCTTAACAGGCTAGATGATGGGGTTCTGTAAAAATCATTTTCTCATTTCCCAGTTTTAAGCCGTTGCCCATCGACTCCATCAAATATATACACAGCTTTGCATAACCAACTGTTGCACTAGACAAATGTAATTGAATCATACCAGAGGCCAAAACAATCAGGCCTGCCTACAGACCTGCAAGGTGTCAAATCATCTCTTTACTTTTGGCTGTGGAAAGGGTGCAAAGATTTGACTAATGTACAATATGAGATTGACAACTAAAACAAGTAATTTCCATTTAAAAAAATTAACTGTTCTAATTAACAAGGGAAAATATCCTCCCCCTAAATTAGTTTATCTAATTTTCATCTTTATTCAAAGCAAAATGACAATGATTAATTGAAAATTTAATAAGCAGTAATTATTAACTTGGCAAACCTAGTACCAATTAACACTCTATTAAAACTAATTATGACATGTTTCATTCAAGTGTTTGCACTTAATTGTTTCACCCACTTAAAAAAGCACCTTAATTAAATGTTCTGTTTAATTAAAAACATAGATTCCTAATAAAAAAATGTTTTACTGTAGATTAAAAATGTAAGAGATGCAAATACTCCTAAGGTTTCTTAAACGTCAGTGGTTTGTTTCACACATCTAGAGCCCCGGCCTGGAGGACCATCGAAAGCTCTCCACTTGTAAGTAGCCGGCATGACTTCTGTAGCCCAGGTCACTTCAGTCACAGTATTTCTGAACTTCTTTCTTTTGTAATGACTGTCTGCTAGGTTCTACATACTAAACTATAAGGGAAAGATCCAGACCGGAAATATTAACCAAAATATGTTAAGCCTTTGTTGGTTGCTCTAAGATATGCCATTTAAAACCTGGATAGAAAAAGCACCGCATAGAGCTTGTAGGTCTTCACCAGGAGGCGAAAGGATGCCTTTATTACCCTATCATAAACGACCAGGGGCACCAGGGAAGTACTGCCCTTCTAACTAGACAGCCAGGGTCTAATTTAGTTTGAATATTCAAGGTGAATTAAAATTCTATCTAAGTGGTAATACAGGACAATAATTTTTGCTTACGATCAAAGCTGTAGCTTGACTAATTGTGTATGCAAATCAGGCAATTTATATTTAAATTATGCATTCCTATTCTAATCCCACAGGCATATACAGATCAGCAAAGAGAGTTGGTAGGACATTTGCAAGGTGCTTGAATATTTATTACCAACTGCAAACATTCACTGATCGTTTGAAAAAGAAATATACTGAAGAAAACACTCGGTTGTGATTTGAAAACCATCTTTACGTTAGATTTTTTTTCCTCAGTTTTATGAAGACTTTTCATACCTTTATGGTGTGTTCTTTTACTTTTGCTGTTGCTTTTAAAAATACTAATTTTAGGGGGAAACTGATGAGGCCTTCAACATTGGTTAGGACCCAAAATATTTTAGAATGTGTATTGTTACACTATTACACTGTTATACTATTAATGGGGTAACATGCAGAATTTGAATGGGGTCTGTGAATTACATACTATTAACGTCCTGATTTTGGTGACTGTACTATAGTTATTTATGCAAGAGAATGTCCTTGTTCCTATGAAATACACACTAAAATGTTCAGGGTAAAAGGGCATTACATCTGCACCTTACTCTCAAATGGTTGGGGGAAAATATGTGTAACAGAGAAAGAAAGGGAGGGAAGGAAAGAGGAATAGAAGATATTAAAGCAAATACAGTGAAATAGGGAAAACTGGGCAAAAAAGAATACAGCAATTTTTTATACCATTTTTTGCAACTTTTCTGCAGGTTTGAAATCATTTCAAAATAAAATGGTGCTAAAGGTTGTATGATATACATTCATGCACAGGACATACTTTTTGCAATTTAAATAATTTCCTATGAAAAAGGATGCACTGGTTATACTACATTGAATTTTGAGAGCTCTACTCCTTTGATATTTTTCAAATGCTTTAAACTTTCTTTTATTTACTTATCTTTTGCCACAAAGGTAATGTATAATACTTTGATGGCAAAGACACACTTTATAGGTTTTCTTCTAAAAAAAATTTTGCCCACAGCAGATTTTAGAATCTTGGGGGAAAAAGCTTTCCAATTGTAACAAGCCGATGTCATATTCTGCCCTTGGTGTTTTCATCATGCTGGATGCCCTGACTCTCAACACTAGAAATGCTTTTTAATAAGCCTATAAAGATAAATATTAAAAGCAGTTATTAAAGATTTCCAGATAAAACTGTCAACTGTACTTAAGGGATTTAATATACTCAATATGTGCATCTATCCATAGAAAACTGTCCCAAAACTGTTTTGGTACAGCAGATGAGGGATACTGTTGTGAGAATAACACAAATACACAAATGTAATTGACCCCGCTTCCAAGTCCTATTTTAGATTGAAGCCCTAAGACAGAACATAGGCGCATCTAAAAAATGTTCTGGGCATCATTTGTTTGCTAAGGTTAAACGCTTCTTAGAGATTCCACGGACACAACAGCAGCAAGGACTGTTTTTTCTCTTCTTGTGTAGCCCTCAGATGTCAAGTATACCCAGAATTAGTTTCAAAAACCCATAAAACAGTGAAGAAAAATAAGAGTGGACTCAATAGATTATAACATGTCAAATTTTTAAAGAACCTGATTAAGTGGCAAATATACAGTGCCGTTTTGAATCTGCTTCCAATTGCTTACCACTTATGGTAGGACTTCCTTTGTGCAGAGCTATTCAAGTTGACTTTCCAACAAAGGTGGTACGTTTAGAAAAATCTGCTCTCACTTAATAGCAGTCAAACAAAGACTTGAGCAGATAATAAATAGCACAGCAAAAGAATTTGGATTACACAAGGCTTTCCTGTCAATTTTTCTTTATGAACTATCAAGGATTTAACTTAAATACACATAAATAAGGGAGATGCAGAGAAAGAGTCTCTCCTGCAACAGAAAATGTCATCCTTCTGCTGTCCCAAATGACCATTCTTTGTGTCTCTTACTAGAATAAGTTGCACTGACAGCTTAAGAATGGGGAGAAAAAGTGGTCAGAAAGAAGATGTAGCAATTCTTTTTCCAGATAGGTGACACCTGGCACATTTTAACAGCTGGAGAGTACCCCATGACCCAGTAAGAAATCTTAGAGGTGATGCTGTGAGTCTGGTAAGAGTATGTGGCTGAGCAACATACTTAGCATTTAAGCTGAATATGCTATCTGATTGGCATACTGGACATTCGAGAGAGCCTTCTGGTTCTCAATCGAAGCTACTAGGTCTAGCATACTATCAGATTTGGAAACTTCTTGTCACTCTTACAAAATCAGGTTTTTCTTTAAAAATCTGTAAAAACACTTGGTAAGAGCCAAATGATCAGAACATCAGCCAAGTTGCAAAGAACTATGGACATGGCTGGGTCAAATCACAACCTCAAAAGACACTTTCCCTTCACTATGTCTCCTACACCCATCCAATCCTTTGCAGAAAGAGCATTTTCCAGTTTTTCCAGTCAAACTATTTTAATAGTTGGAGTTTAGAGCAGCTGAAAGCCACAGTATGTGTCTGTCACATCTTTAACTCTTGAAACAGGTGGTATGTTTTCTCTCATAAGTCAGTTTTCGCAAGGTTTTGGCTTAACTTTTCTAAGAGTTGGTGTTCCCCCAACATTCTGCCAGATCTGAACCCTCTTAAGCCAGTGTGTCACCGGGAACTTTAAATCAGCCCCAGAACGGAGACCAGTATCTCTTAAGGAAAATCTGACACTGTACATAGGAGGGAGGAATAGAAGTTTAGCATAACTTGGTCATTTAATTTAGGAAGCAATTTAGTTCAGGTCACTGAGTATTAATTAGCACAGACAATCAATTTTAAATACTGGTTGTAGTCATAAAATCTGGAAGTTTAGTTCCTCAACAAGTCAACTAGTTTTGTTAGGATTTTTTAAAAAGAATTTCAGAGATGTGCCAATTGTATCTCCATTTTTAAAAATCAGGAGAAAAGACTGACGTGTGCAATTTAATTTCTAAAACATCAGATTTGTTTTTTCATTAAGAGTAAACTGCATGCAAGCTGAGACCTCTTATGCCAGCTTTCATCCCAAAACCATGACAGCACCTGAAAAACCGGGGTTTAAAACAGAAACGTTGCCAGACGGTCAATTACATGGCACTAGCAGATGCTCCTAAAGCGAAAACTATTCCATGTTCTAATCAGGCCTGGTGAAAGAATATTAATTAGGATTTAAAATTTTTGGTTTGTGGTGGGAGGCTGTTTTGTTTTTGTTGTTGTTCGCAGGAAAGGCCCTCCTTGTCGCTCCTCACATCACTGCATGAACAACTGTGCACAGCTGCCAGAACACTAGACTCGTGTTTTTCAACAGTTCTTACCAGCTTTCTTCCAGATCTCCTCTGGCACGTATCCAGAAGCAGGCCTGTGAAGGAATTCCCGATGTGCATCTAGGAAAAGGATGCAAAGCGGGTGGGGAGAGGAAGAAAGCACCATAAGCACGTTATGTCACTACACAGAATAGAAGCAAGCAATGCCCGTTCTCTTGGCTGCCCTACAAAAACATAATTTTGAAAGGCTGAGCATTTCACTTCTAGAAAATAAACACAAATAGCAAGGCCAGTCATCAGAGCTCAAGGAAAACAGAAGGTCATTTGTCTAAATGCCTTCCTTGTATGCTCAAAATTAAACAACTTCAATGATTACATCATACAATATGATGTCTGGGAGCACTGGTCCCAGAACCCTCTCACTCTGGGAATTTCTATAGGCATGTTTTATCTTGTTAGGGAAAATGAATTATATTTGGTAGTTTTCTTTTCAAGAGTCAGATTGGTAGTTAAAAAATCAAATCTTAGGCTAATATAATTTTCACATAGCTCTGATTCCAGCACCTTTCAAGAAATAGTGAGCCTTACTCCATAGCCAACCAGTTCTCACAATGACCTCTTAAAAATCTCGCCGAGCACTAAACATTTTCACACAAATTGGATCATACAGATTTGACATGGGTGGAAGGAAGACAGACTCAATAGAATGGATTCAGAGATACTCAGTTAACAAAACAGGGTTAGTACATGCTTTCTAAAACAAAATGACGTTTCACTTTAAATGAAACGCTGGGCTTATTCTTGTCAAATTTTAAAATTTTGAGAAAACAGATCAGAATAAGCTGATGTAGGAATGCTAACCTCCAAAATAACGTGATTGTGGAAATGATAGGATACCTTTTACATTTTTCTAGATATCATAGAAAATAAACTGAAAATGTCTTCCATAGTTAAAATATGTACTACCCATCTTCCATATTGAATTTTCAATGAAAGCCTATATATTTAGAGGTTTGGGGGCAAGAAAAAAAATTTAATTTTTATAAGGACAACAATCATTCAACCTCTGATAAATTTTAAGTAATTAAAATTTTCCCAACATTTTAAGAAATGTCAAGTACCAGAATACAGAATATGGAAAACAGAGAAAAGCACACTCAATTTAGTTAAGTAGACATCATTTTACATTTGAATGCCTTAAATAGGTTTGAATGTTTTGATTCCTTGTAGGGTACATTGATTACCAGTGGCTAAAGCTGAAGATTTCCCCAACTATTCTGAATTAGCAAAAGCTTATTATAGCTTAATGAAGGGCATCTGGAAACTCTGTATTATCTTTGCAATGTTTTTTAAATCTGTAATTATTCCAAATATACAAATTCTTAAAACTTTATAATTTCATGATTACGTGATAATCAGATGCACTTGAAATATCCATTCTCATGGCTATTCTCATGCACACATTGAATTCTATAAGGAAAGTGATGAAAACCAAATTATTTTTATTTAAGTAATTTTCATTCATAAAACAGCTAGATAAAACTGTTTGGAGCACACACAACTTCAAGAAAATGTGATATGGCTAATTAGATTCATCAGGATTACCTTCCACACCACTATTTCCAGAGGAAATAAAGAAAGTATAATCAAGTTCACATTCCATAAGACACAACGAAACAGAGAGAAACCTATGGCACTTTTAAAGACAGTTTTTTTAAGAACAGATTTTGGTTTAAAGTGTATGAATTGATATATAAAGAAAAATCATGTCTTCTCCAAAGTAGCAAAAGAAAAACAAGTTTTTTCCATTTATTGGATTAAGAAAAGATCAACCGTTTAGTAAAAATTATTTATAATGGCCAATCATTATTACAGGCAATGGGAAAGGTAATGTTAAGTTATCCAAAGGCCAAGCATGAAAGAAATTAATTACCGCCCCAGAGAGCTTAGGCAGAAGAGACTTCACTTCATTCAGCCCAGTGAAGTTGAATCTTAGCTTTGCCACCTACTAGTCAGGTGACATTGCTCAGGTTAGTTTTTCCATGTCTCAGTCACCACATCTGTAAAGTGGGACACCGGTACAACACTTGAGTGCACTGCTGTGGAGACTGAAAGAGGTACTTCCTATTACATGCTCAGCATGGCACACCCCAAACTCTCATTAGACATTAGATGCTATTACCCTCATTACTGTTAACACCATTATGACTTAGTAGGCTGTCCAGTAAGAATGGATACTTATTTCCTCATCAATAATTAAGGTGGAAAAAGCACCTTAAAGTTTCTTCTCCTAGCATTTAAATTCACATAGCACAAAACTTAAAAAGAAACGAAAAGAAAAAAGAAAAACAAACAAAACCTCTCAAGAGATTTGGATTAAGCAATATTCAACAGTAATTTTTTATTCCTGAGTATATGTCACTTGGGGATAGAAGTTATTTCCATAGTTAGTAATTCTGTCATAGTCCTTTTTGGGAAGTCCTCAAATTTCTTACATGTTACTTGTATAAATTTTATTTAAAACTCATAAATGTTTATAGTCTCCAAAATTAATCAAACATGATATTTAAGCCTTAATCAGGTACCCACATTCCCAGGCATTGTACAGTAGAGATTGTGAGGGTCCATATACCACACTGGACAGTTACACAATATTTCGAGTTGGCTATATATCCCTAAAATTCTCAGTGACACGTAGACTCAAACTGCACCTGACCTTGAAACCAACAGAAACACCAAAGCCAATAATCAAGTAAAACTTTTCTTAATCCCAGCCCACTTTCTGAAAGAATTTCTTTTTGAAATAAGAGAGGAATCCAAAGGCAAAAAATTTTTATAAAATAAACAGATTCACATATATATGTAAATGTATAAGAATGGAGAAATCAGATGTACTCCTCAGCATCTACTTTTGATACACTGATGAATAAAATTGCTACAGAAACCAAATGCCTAATAAATATGCTATCTTCTCTTCTGTTGAAGTAGTAGCAATAACAATGTCTTTATAGGCAATGCTGAGTTTAAAAAACAAAAAAAATCCTTAAGTTGCTCTATACTAGAGACAACTTCCCTCTTGGGACCTCCTTAATTTAGAATATTGACTGCTCTAGGGTACCTGAGTGGCTCAGTGGGTTAAGCCTCTGCTTTCAGCTCAGGTCATGATCTCAGGGTCCTGGGATCCAGGGAGGCCCACATCAGGCTTTCTGCGCATCAGGGAGCCTGCTTCTCCCTCTCTCTGCCTGCCTCTCTGCCTACTTGTAATCTCTCTCTCTGTGTCAAATAAATAAATAAACTTTTTTTTTAAGAGTTTATTTATTTATTTGACAGAGATCACAAGTAGGCAGAGAGGCAGGCAGGGTGGGGGGGAAGCAGGCTCCCTGCTGCGCAGAGAGCCTGATATGGGGCTCGATCCCAGGACCTTGGGATCATGACCTGAGCCGAAAGCAGAGGCTTTAACCCACTGAGCCACCCAGGCACCCCTAAACTCTTCTAAAAAAATTTTTAGTAAAGAATATTGACTGCTCTAGACAAACCTATGTAAAACACCTTATGTTTGTAAGGCCCAGATTTTAAAGAAGCAATTTTTTATTCACCATTAAATCTTGACCACCTATAAAACATCAGTTGCTGGGCGCCTGGGTGGCTCAGTGGTTAAGCCTCTGCCTTCGGCTCAGGTCACTATCTCGGGGTCCTGGGATCGAGCCCCACGACAGGCTCTCTGCTCAGCAGGGAGCCTGCTTCCTCCTCTCTCTCTCTGCCTGCCTCTCTGCCTACTTGTGGTCTCTGTCAAATAAATAAATAAAATCTTTAAAAAAAAAAAACATCAGTTGCTATAAAATGGATAGCTGTATTAAAATGCAGTCACAGAAACAAAGACCAAAGAGCCTATAGGAGATGGTTTAAAATGTGAAACATATACATACATAACTACTGAAAGACTGCAAAATTATAGAAAAGTCCTAAATTGAGTTCTGGCTTTCTTTGGGACACAAATTGTTTGGGGGCGAGAAGAGAAGAGGAGGACCCTCCAGAAGAGAACACATCTATGAAGAGAGGGACTGCGTCAAGGTGTAGGAGTAGTTCTAAGAAATGGAGAACAGAAAAAGCAATCTATGATGTTGGAGATGGAGGATAACACTACACTTACGACAGAATGGAGACCATTGGCCACTAGAAACAGCAAGGGCCGCCATCAGTATATATGAAGGGATGAGCTGAGAGCCTGTGGAGAACCAATGGGACCTCATCTGACCCAGAAGAGCAAGGCTGAAAGCTTGACAGCACCTACGTATGGCCTTTGTCCTGTAGTGGGCAGAATGAAGCTGAGATCATGATACTATCTATCACAAAACCACCAAAAGGAAGGACAGGTTAAATGGGTTCATCTTAATAAATGTTAGTTATTGTTTTTAAGGATAATGAATTCAGAAACTTCAATATTTTGTTTGAGGTCCAAACCAAACCTAGAAGCCAGAACTGTTATAGGATTTTTTTAACAATAAAAGACCTAGTGCTCTAGGAGGCAATTAGCTCTTCTTGTTTTTAAAAGATGGGTATATTTAACTATTACTCCCTTCTTTTTAAACCCAATATACTTAAATACGGTGGGCACTTAGGAACTCAGCTGAATGATCTTGAAATGAATTTCATGATGTGATTTAAAGGAATCGATACAAGTATATAAAACTCTAAACTTTTACATGCAGATATACTCTGAATAACGTGTTTGTGGCTTTTATAATCTGATAGTAAGACAGGATATATTTCTTTTGGCTGGGAGCAAACCATTTTTCCATAGCCTTGTATTATGAAGTAGGGTCCCAAAGGTACAACAAATTTACTGTTTTTAAGACAGAATTCCCCTTTCCTAGTTTTTCTGCCTGTTAAAGTAGCCACCTAAAAATTACTGTTTTGAAGAATTTTCAGAATGAAAAAAGTACTTAAGAATTTACTCTAATTTTATAATCTTGGATGTGAAGCAAGTTGGCTTCATATACCCCTGTCCTTTTAAGTTCTTTTTCAGATTACATATTAGAAGTAATAATAACAGCTAGTACTTTTATCACATCTACTATGGGTCAGGCACTGTCCCATATGATTTATACGAATTAACTCATTTAACACAGAAACATCTATAAAGTATGTATTATCACCATTCCCATTTTATAGATGAGGAAACGGAGGCACAGAGAATTACTTGTCAAAGGTGACAAAACTGGGGAGAAGAGAAACGAGGGGTTCAAACCCAGACAAGCTGTGCTTTTAACCTTCACGCTGGATTTCCTGAGGTTTTAGACAGGAATGAGAAATCCTATAATTCAATTATATGACAATCATAAAGCTTGCTGGCCAGTGGAATTTTAAAATACCAATTTCCCCACCAATCTACTTGAAGCAGGGGTGGTATTAATTTGCCAAACTCAGAAGTCCTGAGCTCTTTTATGAATGGTCAACTCGACTTCTCATTCCATTTAAAACAAACAAAAAGCCTCTTTCTGAAACTCTTACCAAAAACATAGATGAAGGTATTTTCAAAATTTCATACAGTCTCATCACAATATCCAAACATTCAAAAAAGGGGGGGAGGGGTGCATTCCTATTTCAAAGAGTTATGCCCAGTCTCTGACATTAGTCCATCACTAGATACTTCTTTTAACTCTAACAGTATAAAGAATTTCTTGAGAAATACAGAAGGAAAGCACACAAATACAAGATGAACTATAGGAAGATTCTAGAATAGTACACAGCCAGTAAAAAGAAGGTAATCTAAAGGAAATAAAATGTCAGGAGCCAAGAGAATGATATGAACAGCATACTGAGAGAAAAGGGGAATGGAGACAAAGGAGGAGAAAAGCAGCAGCACAGAGACCCAGACCAATGCTCAGGCCTATGAAGTGCTAACCAGCAGCTCCTCACCTGTAAATACAAAAGCAATTCTACTTCAGTGACACTATGTATCAATTTTGATGGCATTAGCCTCTTTTGGGTGAAATTTACAATGTAACAAAACTCAAATGTACAAAGAACAAGTCATACTTCGAAAGTAGAGGCAATTGTTTTAAAAATTAGCTTTCTAACTTTAGTACTTAAATATCTGGACTTTTTCCTGGAAAGTGAGTAATAACAATAAATAAAAATCTATGAGCTCAAGGGAAAAATCTAATATTTTGAAGAGTCCTTCACGATACCAACCTGTTTTTGAGCCGAAACAACATTATGGGCTTAGTGTGTACTCAATTTTAAAAATTGCTCAAGAGGCTGTTCAAAATAGCCTTCATTTAATATCTAGGGAAAACTCTCCAATATTCAATTAGTAATAGATTAGTCATGTTCTCTTACTAATCCCTCACACTGACTTAACACTATGGATAGATTTCAAAAGTGAGAAGGGGAGTGAGTTTAACAAGTACAACAGAGTGGTCATGGAGGTTATGTTCTCCTCTGTCCAGTCCCCAAATGCAATTTAAAAATTGTCAGAGGAAAAAAAAAAATTCTCAGAGAGAGTGTGTGTGTGTGTGTGTGTGTGTGTGTGTATTTGTGTGTGACTATACACTGCCAGTGTTTCCAAGCTAGGGAGGTAACCAAGGAAATATTTTGAACTAAAGATATCTCCTATAATATTATTCTGAAGTTCTGCAGGTCTCATTTGACCTCTGTAGCAGCTGCAGGGAATTAAGAGAATTGAGCTAAAAGAAACATGGATAATGTAACTGCAGGATACAGAGATCTACATGTACATAAAGATACAGACATAGCCCTAGTTCTTATCTATACACACACATACACACACTCGACATACTCGATGACACACTCTCCGGAGGCAGAAATGAGACTCATCAGCCAGTAATCTCTGGTCTTTTCTTTACACATCAACGTATTCAACTCCAAAACCTAGGAGAGAACCTTTGAAAACATTTCATGTGAAATCGGTGTGGTCCATGATTATAAATCACCAGCTGTCTCAGAGTCACAGCCCAGACCCCACAAAAACAAAACTCACAGGCTTCAAGACTAGGAGGGGGCGCACAATGAAAGGCCACGCCGGTTGCTTAAACTTGCGCACTGTGTGATTCTTGACAAGCTACCTCTCAAGTTGGATGGTTTCTTAAAAGGTAGCCTACGGTTCTGTGGCCACAACGAACAGGACTGTTTATTAAAAGAAAAAAGTCAGAATCCAAACAGAGAAAGCAAATGCTTGTAGTCTTTGAATATTACAATCTCCAAAAACTTAAAGCCAAAGCAACCTCGTATGACCAAAACTAGGAATTCATAAAGCATCATTAGAAATAATGTAATTTGGGTACTCCTAAGAAGTTTTTTAAAACCAACTTTATTCTTCTAGTTAACAGGGAAACTAAACCCATTGTCCTCGAGAACAATATACATTCGCATCACCAGAATGTATACGCAACAGTGGTGATGATATGACATGTCCTATATTCTGGGTGCTGCAAATAACTCACTTAGGCATGAAGTCCCATTAGTGGCTGAATTTTTTTCTTTGACAGTAGACAGCAGATAATCCTAATCCTGTCAGTTAAGGGGCCGTCTGGTGCCAGGGAACTAGCTGGGGCCCCTGCCTCTCTTCTCCAATAGACCAGAAGCTCCTCGAGGGAAGGGAGGAAGGATTTTATTCCTTTATTATGTTGCCTAACACAATGCCTGGCACATAGTAAACGTTAAATAAGTAAGTACTGACTCAACAAATCAGTTCAATAAAGCAGGTTAAACCAAACTCTTGGACTCCTAAAATTTTATTTAGTTTAAGGCTTTCAATTTTTGCTGACACTGGGTGGTTACAGATACCAGCTTCATTTGTCTTGAACAGATCTATCACGGTTAACCAATTTTTGTTCACAATAAAGAAATAAAAAACAGGATACTTACTCAACTCTGCTCTAAACAGTTTTACATGGACTGGCGTTGATTCAAATTAAACCTATTTTCATTGCTTGCCTTAATGTATCCTAACAAATGCACATTCATCTTTAAAACAAGCTTTAGAATAATACCTAGTGGGTGAAGTAAGTGACTTGGAATCTTTGTATAACACTTATTATGGTAATGAGCATTCAGCATTCAGGGATGAGCAGGAATCCGCAAACCTAAAGCACAAAGGGAACTTTATTGCTTAGGAATAATTTTAATAAAAAATAAAATATGATCAACAGCCAAGTAATAGACAAGTTTTTAATTTTTGATAATCAACCAGGGTTGATAATGAGGCCAAAGTCATGAACTTAATCTGCACATGTGTAATTAGTTTTGCATGCAGTGCAGACTGCGCCCTGAGTGAGTTGACAGGTGTGTGGCTAAACAAGTAAGAAAACGAGATGAGAGAACACAGACAGACACAAATCCATCTCCACTAACTTTACTCAGATGGCACCCACGTGGAGTAGCCAGCAGTGTACATGGTGACACCTTGTGATTAATTGAGGCAAAAGTTCACAGGCTACTCAAAAATTCTCCCAGGTTCAGGATCTCTTTCCATGTATCTGTGACGATATCCTATTTATAAGCTCAACATTCTCCATATATCAATATTAGCTATGGTTACATATTAAGCATTCAATTTCTAAAGCTCGACTATATTAGCAGTCGCATTAGAACTAATAAAAGCTTTACATGGTCCTAAAGCCAATATTACACTATATGTTAACTAAGTAGAATTTAAATAAAAATTTGGAAAAAGAAATTAAAAAATGAAGGCCTTACGCAACCTAGGTTAAGGTCAGGTCACCAGAAGACAGTGCTCCCTTCATTGCTAATTTGCAAGTGCCAGCTAGCAGACTATATAACCATTAGGTCTCTCTTCCTGGGTAAGTATTTTATGAAAATAAAAAATACAGCTGGAAAACAAGGCCGTCTTAGAGTCTGTGTCCTCAATTAAGAATCAGACAACACATCCAACACCGTTTGGCAGCAGAACTCCCTGGAGAGTTGCTGCCACCACAGAAGCTCGCGGCGCCCCGAGATTCTGTTCTGGCACGCTGGGGGCAGGCTGCAGCGAGGCGTGCTGTGCAGGGGCACAGGTCTCCGCGACGCAGGTGAACCCTGGCCCGGCCTCGAAGCTCTGCCCCGAGCCCAGCATTACCTGCAAAGAGGAGCCGACGTGTGGCCACCGCCTCTGCATTGGCCATTCGGCGGGCTTCCGCACGGAGACAACAAGAACTACCGGGGATGTCCAGTGTTTATGGCTCTAGAAGGCCCTGCACACCCTTTATTTTTGCCAAGACCCCCCGAACGTGAAATGGGCACAAAGAGCGTGAGCACTCTCCGTCCAGCGAGTCCACCCAAAGGAAAAGTACCTAGCGCCACCGGGTCCGGGTTGACGGGGCTCTGCTGCCGCGAGTGGCCGCCGCCGCCGCCGCCGCCTTTCTTCAAGTCCTCAGCGTCGCTGTAGCGCCGGATCCAGTAATTCAGCTCCTCGCGGTCGGCCTCCTGACACCGCCGCAGCACGGTGAGGGACCGCCGTGTCTTCTCCACCATGTCCATGATGCAGTTCAACAGCTGTGGAAGGGGCGGGCGCGGGGGAAGAACACAGCTGTCACCACCACCGAATGGCTCGGGCGGGCAGCAAGACCGACCACCGCAGGACCAGGAGGGACGCAATGGCCGTCCCCAAGGCTTCCTTCCATCTAAGTGTTTTCAAAGGTCAGACCTGACATTGAGGACCGACTGAGGAGTAAACTCAGTGGGAATGAGAGTAAAACGTAGGAGGCGTGAACATGACTCATGACAGAGATTTCGGCTGAAGGCCCACAGCCAAGTTCCCAATACTAATCCCATTATTGTATAAACCAAATGACCCGTTTGCAATAAAACAGGAAGGAACCCACGGATCTGGCTTGGAGGACTCCTTTCCACGACCTCACACTTCTCTTACGTCAATGCCTTTGATATTAATGTAAAATCAAATCCTACATTTATTGCAAATATTCCCACTCATTACTTTCTTCAAGGATAGCACAAAACCTAATACCCTCAAAGCATCCCCACCCATTTCTCTTTTATCATAGAAGCCCACTCCAGTTGTTTCTGAAACATATTTTAACCTAAATGATTACCGATATCTTACATGGTCAAGATGTTTCCATTCCTCTGCCCATTCTCTGTCTGTTAGTCTGTGATCAATCATTTCTTCTTGACGTGTGCCATGCAACCCTACGAATGTAGAGAAGAAGGCTGAATTACCCTACAGTGTTCAAGACATAATCCATACATGCACAGGCACTTAGCAAAGACTAAACTAAATGATGTGAAAATGTATTTGATTTTTTAATGGAGATATAAGTCATACTCACATTCGCAATTACCTAATGGGCTCTTCAAAGAATGATAAAATGTTAAAACTAGGAAGAATGTTGCAGGTCATATGGTCGGAACCCTTCATGTAGGAAAAACAGGGAGTAAAGTGACACCAAGCACTGAGTCAGTTATCCATATCATGTTCCCAAATTGAAAATATAAATATATACTAACTCTTAATAAATATGAGAAACCACAAGGAGACATTAAGTGGTTTCAAAGTGCAGCTTTCTAGCATTAAAAATAAAGACAGCATAAATCACTTTACATGATAGGTATATGCTTTTCTAAAATGAGCATGGTAAAATTTTTCCACATTTCAGCACAGGCAAATGAACACAACTCTACTGTGTATACCTCCATGATGAAACTAGGCCATGAAGAGAGGGCTTGCAAAATATGAAAGCAATGTATACTCATTTGATTTACTAAAAAAAATTTTAAAAAGAAATAAATTGGACATCACTTAGGAGAAAATGCAACATACCAGATGTAATTTTGGACAAAAATCTTTTTTTTTTTTAGATTTCATTTATTTCGAGAGAGAGGGAGAGATCGCATGTGTGCAAGTGGGGGGAGGGGCAAAGGGAGAGGGAGGGAGAGAACACCAAGCAGACTCCCTGCTGAGCACAGAACCTGACCTCGGGGTTGGATCTCACAACCATGAGATCATGACCTAAGCCAAAATCAAGAGTTGGCTGCTTAACTGTCTGAGCCATCCCTGCGCTTAGCTTTGGACAGATATCTTAAATCCAAGCCAAGAAACCAAAAACCCCAATTTGTAATCTATAGAGTTAAGTATTAATGCTCTTCAGCATCACAATTAAGTTACAACACAAAAAGGTAATGTGGAAGTGCTTACCAACCAAGCAACAACAGCAATGGACGTGGGCAGTGAGGTAGGATGCTCATCAAGATAGAAAACAAACGTGTCTCCCTGAGAGGACAGGGTGGGAGGCTATGAGCAGAGACACCCAGAAATGTGTTGCTCCTCTTACAAATTCTTAGTTTCCACTACAAAAGAAAGGCATTGAACTATGGCAATATTTTCCACTTTAAATGATTAAAACCCCTTTTCAGTTAGGGGTTACTAACCATTACTCTATAGCAAATTAAGTCTAACATGGCTTGGGCTTCTAGACACCTAGGTAGGCTCCTTCTCAAAAGGGCATCATGTGGGAGTTAGAGTACAATGAGACTTCTGAGATACTGAATTTCACTTTCTGTGGCATCAGAGCGGTTAGAAGTCCCTCTTTTGCCTGATATAGAGAAATAAAGATGATGAGTCACATGACTCTTTTTAACCAACCATGAAATGCAATTTAATTTATAGCCTATGGAGGCACACACACACAGTGCTTTCTCAGATTAAATAAAAAGCTAAATATAAATCACTTCACATCATTCTTGTCTAATTAGAACATGTTCAAAGATACATTTTTAAAGTTAAAATGGTCAATGCCACCTATTGGTAAAAAAGTAAAATTGCAAATATGTGTTAATTTGCATAATAGAAAAGACATTGGGGGAAAAGAATATTTAGTTATTACTCTGTCTGTTGTGACTATTTCAAGTTGAAATGTTTGCAAATATGTAATTTTTGTTGACTTATTTGTTACTTATGTTTTAGGAAATAAAAACACTACCACTGAAATGAGTCATCACAGAAAACAACCAGAGAGTGATGAAGATATAAATATGGCACTGACTTTCACAATGGAGGCATCTTACTATTTGGTTTTGAGGACCAAGAACTCTAGAGGTCTCAAAAGTTTCAGGAGCGCCTGGGTGGCTAAGTCAGTTGAGCATCTGACTCTCGATTTCAGCTCAGGTCATGATCTAAGGGTCATGTGATTGAACCCTGCATCAGGCTTCATGCTCAATGCGGAGTTTATTTGGGATTGTATCTCTCCATCTGCTCCCAACCCCCACTCACGTGCTCTCTCTAAATAAATATAAAAAAAAAAAGTTTCAAAAATTCAGCAGATCTAAGTCAACAATGATATAAGCTCTAATGCCAGGAGGAATATTAATGAGCCATAGGATGCCTGTGGATAATGAGATTCCAACATTTGTGGAATACTGCTAAGCTTCATCTCATTTAAAAAAAAAAAAAGGTACATTAGAAACATGTTTGAGCCCAAGTACTTGGTAAGAAAATATATAATTTGCTGCTTCTGAACTCTGAAGGTCATCTGTTAGAAAGAATCAAATCTCTAAAAAGGAAAAACTAAATCAACTCAAAATCTTAACATTTATTAATTTCTATTTCAGATACTTAAATATTCATCACCACACAATTTTCATTTACATTCATAATACCAAAGGGATATACTAGGGGAAAATAACTCATAATCATTAAAGAGCACATTTCCATTTGTGGGCAATTTGACAATAATGTTGCATCCTAACTGGTTCTTATAGTTTAGAAGATTTTAGCTAACTAGACTAAAACTCTGAAGTTTACTTATAAACTAATGTTGTTTGTAAAGATATTTTATTAAAAGACTCTAGTGAGTGTATGTCTCTACATAATAGGCATTTATAAGTCATACTAGACTAAGTGTACATTTATGACAATTTTTATATTCTCAAAATGGCAGCCTAATGTAACACCACCATTTGTTACTCATACATCAAGATTTTATTTTACACTAACACACACTAAACTGTGCCAGACTTTAGGGATAGTTAAGTAGTTGTACATATTTATAGAGATTAGCACTATTAGTTTTATAAGCTAATTTAATTAATTAAAAGGTAAGGAACATGGTCTGAAGAAAAATCATATAAAACCAGTGGGTACAGATATAATTCATAAAGGGATATTTTACATTACCAGATGAAAACATAATCATTGCACATAAGCCTAATTACTTCTTTGCTGATTACTTTATAGTGCACTGGAACTAATATTTTATAAAATAGCATTTGCTACCTAACAAAGAGGCCACTTCCCTGCACCTACAAGAGCAGGATATCTTGAATTCGTCTTACAATGACCTGATGAGTCCACTTCTATTTGGAAAATGAGCAATCATGGTTTGGGGGGCCTAACGTCATAAAAAAATGGCAAGCCCTTTACTTAGAACGAGGTTGTTACCACATTTGATTTGGGGGTGGGGGCGTCAAAATATTGATCCAGACTGAGAAATGACATAACCATTTTTTAGAGCTCTTCAGAAATAGTACCTGGGAGAACATTAGACAGACTGGTTCTTAAGAAAGCACAAATTATATGCTTAGCCATTTGTCCGACACAATATAGAAATGTAGCAAAGGCTGTTGTGGGAAGCAGAACTACTTTTTGACTGTCTTACAACCAGGGCCTCAATCACGGCCCTTCCCCTCACCCTGAGCCTCCTTTCCTACTTTCTGAATATTTGGAGGGCTACATGGAAAAAAGGCAAAAAGATCCAAATACAGCAGCCCTGTTCACTAGCAACTATAGTGAAAGCTTATGTAAACTTCTACTCATCACACTACCTCTATCTCTGGCTAAAAACACCGTGCCTGCTATTGGAGCAGTGCTGTTCCCGGAGTTCTGCATCCCCAGCCCTGTGTTCTCTTTTTCCGCTTAGACTTTCTTCCCTGCTCTTTCCACCACCGTGCCCACCAACTCTACCAGCCAGGCAAGTTCAGCAGCAATTAGCTGACTAATGAAGTCCTGCTGGTAAGTGGAGTGGACACAGGAGAGGGAGAAAGAAGAAAGGATTGATGGTTGCTCTCAGTTTATGAATAGCTCGAGTTGCTAAAATCAAGAATTACAAGAGCCTGGAACAGTGCTCTGATGCTCTCCCCTCCACCCCCGATCTCAGGGTATCCAATCTTACCTTGTTCACTTTCCCTCTTATTTTGCATGGCAGACACTTGTTCTTTATAGGGCCATGTCTCCTAAGTGCTTCCCTCTTCAATAGTTTTATGTAAAGAAGGAATGAACACAGGCAAATGGATCACATGTTTACCTAAACTCATTCTTTCTTTGGCACTTTGATCTATGACACAAAACTGTCAATACTAAATTTAATCACTGTCACTTGCAGGTGAAGAAAGTACCAAACCATTCCTTAAAGAACATCTGTTGATTTAAGACCGAGACATCGTGCCTCTCCTATTTTTCAAATACAGAGTACCACGAAGACTGGCAAAATCAAACCGAACCCTAAGACTGTCTGATATAAAAGTACAATGAAAGAAAAGGAACATCTTAGCATTTTAAAAAATGTTTGTGGCAGACAGGCTGCGTATGAAATCTCTAATGTTAAAAAAAAAAAAAAACCAAACCTAGAAATTCACTTTGCATTTGTTGAGGACTTTATATTAATTTAGGTGCCCCTTTCAAAAAAAAAAAAAACATTAGGCTGCTGTCATAAAGACCATAAGTAATTAAGAGAGAGAAAGCACAGTTGTTAAAAAAACATACTCATACTAACCAACTGTTCTCATAAAGGAGACAACATAAAGAGAGAGAAGAGAATTTTTACCCCTATCACAGATTTCAAGCCTCAAGTTCTGTTGAGAAGTAATGACGGGAGTCTTCAAGCATCCAATGCCATAAGAAGTGAACAGATTCTTCAGGCTTACCCATAGGTCTGTTTCTGTCCCTGAGGTCCCTGTGGCTGGGGTGTCGATAGGAGTCCCTGTAGTGGTGGGCAATGGCCATATCATCCAAACGGTAATGCTGAGGTGGAGGTGGGGTGGGGTGAGGCAGGCCATTGGGCTGGTAGGATAAGCCGTTATTTGGACTGTACCGCTGGCCTGGGCTAATAGTGCATGGTCGCTTGCTTGGATGGTCTGAGTGCAAAGGCTCTCTGTCAAAGCCATTTTCTTTGGTTCTAAAAGGGGAAGAAAAAGTTTCATCATGTTATTCAGAAGCCAGCATAGTTCAGACACTCACATGTGAACTTACAATATAAACAGAGTATTTATTTATTGGCCAGAAACTTTCTAAACTTGGCTTCCCAGAAGACCGGTGGGAATTCACTGGAACCCGTGCTGAGGCCTAAGTCATCCCAAGACCGCGCACATGAGAAAATGGGTTCACGCCTCACCAAGCTGGCAGATATCTTTCTGGTTGTAGCTTGCATGTGGGGTGAGATCACAACTAAGAGTACTCATACTTTATTACTTAAGTAAGAGTAGTCTTACTTAATCTCCCTCCCTAGCTAGCATATTTATTACAAAGCAAAGCAAAACAAAACAATCAAAACAAAAACAAAAACAAGTACTTGATTTCAAACAAATTATCCTAAAACTGAATGGTGTTTGGTGAAGATTCATCAAAGTGGTTGGTATGGCATCCCTCTCTTGATGAATTCTGAAGAAATTCCTATTCCATTGATCCAACCCAGCATCTGATTTTCATGTTGGAGAACATCTAAGTGCTAGCTGTGTGGTCCCATACAACAGCTACATGCGGCCATTTAAATTTAAACGGAAGCTAATGTAAATTCAGTTTAAACTCAGTTCTTCATGGGCAGTAGCCACATCTCAGGTACTCACCATCACAACCTGTGGCTATGGCATTGGACTACACATATACGGTGCATTTCCATCATCACAGAAAGTTCTATGGAAAGGGCTGATTATGCTGAGCTAACACAAGGAAGCAACGCAACGTCTAGGACCCGGAAACTGTCTTCCCCAGCAGTCATTAAGAGCTACCTGGAAGTGAGTCCCCTTAAAGTGGAGAATGCTTGCCCAGGGAGCCTCTGTGACCTGTCCTCAGGTCTCTAGGCAGGATGGGCACACCCTGACTGCATTTCATGATGGGATACACAGAGCTTTAAACTTGGCTTTCAGAAGGAATATGGTGTATGAATAAGGCCCTGATAACTAATCACTGCTCCTAGATTCTCACACAGAAATGGGGCTAAAGAAGTATTTGGGGGCTGGATATATCTCTATTTCTTAGAAACTAACTCAATATATTCAGTAAAATAGGAACCATTCACATCCCAACTTTGACCGAAATCACAGCTCCTACACTATTTCCTTTGTATTTGGCTCTCCTCACAAGACCAGCACTCTAACCTTAGACCAGTGATAATATCTACTTTCCCAGGAAATGTCTCCATGAGAAATTCTACCAAGTCACAGTCGCTGCAGACTTTCACATGCCTTTTTGATTTTAAGTTGGTAACAATAGCATAGAGGCCTTTTAATATACTTTTCCTAGTTTCTTAGGTAGAGTCTATGATATGCTCTCTGATAAACGCTAGAGGCATCTGCATGGAAACTAACTCAACAGAGATATGGAGATCAGAGCATTAAGACTCTGCCATGAACCAACCCATATGTCCCTTTAGGGTAGAGCCCCAGTGACAATGTATACACACCAGATGGAGAAGGATAGAGGATGTAGAGACAGAAGGCCCAAGCACACAAAGAACAAAGAGAAGCTCTGCAGAGTTGAATGTGAAATAATCTATAGCCACTACCTGCTGAAGAGAGAGGCACAGTTCTAGCGACAGGAACTGAGCCAACGCTGGAAAGGGCAGCAGGGCATGGTCCCCGTGAGACTAGCAGCCAGAAGTCAATGCTGCTTCCATCCAAGTAGGTGTCTGATACATATGGGCTCCATACATCTTGATCACTGATATCAGATGAAATGCCCAATATACCTCAGACACTACCTGAATACACTGTTGAAAATAATTTTTAAAAGTGAAAGGGAACAATCTAGCCACCAATTTATCTTCTAAGAGTAAATTTGACATTCTAATCTTTATTTTTATATCCTGTATATTTCTGAATAAAACATCTCAACATTCAATGCACATCACCAGCATAAATCAGTTGATAAATACTGAAGACTATTAGTAGCTATGAACATAATGCTGACACAGCACCTACCTTACCGGCAGGGTGGTGTAGTGGAAAGAGCACTGGACTGGGAATCAAGAGACCTGAGATCTAGTCCTGGCTCTTCCACGACTAGCTGTGTGACCTTGGGCAAGCCACTTAACCTCTCTGGACCTCAGTGTGCTCATCTGTAAAATGAAAGGGTTGGACTAGATCAGTGGTTTTCAAACTGTGCCACCTGAAGTGCTTTTACAGGATTCTGCAGGCAATGAAGAATTTTTTCCCCCAAACATCGAAGACTTGAAGGACAAGAGGAACCCACTCAATTTTTGCAAGTTGGGGTTCGACCTAAGGTTTCACTTTAAAGGACCAGATCTGTTGCTAAAATTGAGTTTGAAAACCACTGGACTAGATGATTGCTGAGGTCCCTCCTAGTTTGAAAACTCTGCGATTGAATTATTCTGTATTTACATCCAAATGGCCTAGTTAGGACATCATGGTTATAATCGAAACATAAGGCCGAATGCTTCGCTGGCCAAACTCTGTCAAAGTCAACCACTTTAGCCAACAGAGAACGTCTCTGTTCTTTGCTTTGAACAATTATTTGTAGCGTGTGTGTGTGTGTGTGTGTGTGCGCGCGCGCGCAAAAATAGAAAATATCCTCTAAATATCTTATAGCAGCCCCTGTTGCATTTCTAAATATGCAAACATCTCTGACCCAGCTGTCAAACCACCTTGACTTACTGGTTTTGCCTCTCTTTGTTCAATAACAGCAACCTACAACATTGGAAGAATTCTTATAATTTTCAAAGTGGCTGGATATATGTTATTTACCTTCACCCTCATATCAGCTGTCTGATCAGCGTTATTACTTCAATGACCCATTATTATGAAATAAGAGGTTTTTTTCCCCTAAAACAAGGACAGTAATATCCCCAAGCAGGGCGAAGTCCTGAGTGGGACCCTGCTGTCCTATCACTCTGCTAGCTATCGAAACAATAAAGCTCAACGCCTCACAAAGGTAGTTATATTTTAACAGCAAAGCATTAAAATATTCACGGCTCATAGAAACAAAGCTATGAAAGGTCTCCTTGGTGCTTCCACAAATCACCCATGTCTGGTTATAGGGCCAACCCTATTCAAAGGAGTTATGTCCAGAAAGGTAACTAAAACATCTTAATTGCTATCTGTCTGTCTTCTTCTTAAAAAATGCCAACAACTATCTACACCTCATTTACTTGAACAAATTCTAAATTAGCTCTTTTAATGTTGCCCTTTCAAAGTGTACCGGGCTGAACGAACAAATTGTCCTGTCACTTTTCATTGTCCCGTACCAGCATACTCTTGAAATAACTCAAATTCTAGTGGGAAGTCCATCATGTCTCAGAGATTTCTGGAAGGCATTTTGTTTGTTTTTTAAATCAGCCTGAGAATATTCTCTCTCCCTACCAAGAGAAATTTTCCTGAACATAACCCAACCACATCAACATTTAGATCCCAATCACTTCTCAGGAATCTGAAGGCCCTAATAATAAAGGGCCACTCAGGACTCAGCTGTGTGACCTCGGGAAGGTTAACCTCTGGCTTCAGTTTCCTGCCCAGTAAAATGGGATGAATGGGAAATAATAAACATTAAAACAAACACAACAAAACTTTAGAGACAACCTAAGTTACATTTTATCCCACCTCAGGCTGTTTCCCCGCACCCCCAGCTCCTCAATAATGGAGGCTATGCTACAACTTTCTTTTCCGAATCAAGTCCTGCCAAGGGTCCCTTAAGCATCCGTAGCACAGTGCCCTTTGCCCATCTTGGCCTGTTCATGCCCCTGTCCTCTCAACCAGTGTCTCAGTCAAAGCCAGGGCTAAGTTGCCAGCAGACTCTCACAATAAAAAGACACATATATTTATTCTTGTACTTTAGAAGTCTAGATTTAAATCTTATTTTAATGTAGTAGCTTGATGTTTAAAAAGCCCAAAGACATTAATGATTTGATATTAAGCACATCTTCCTTCCCTTTTCTAACACATGTAATTTGTTGAGGTTTCCACAGACTAACTGGACACTGAATCAAAGTGGGGGGCGGGTAAAATCATTCTTGACATTCTTTTGTCAGCAAAAGGTCTCTTCAGGAATCATTAGGAACCAGGGAAGTTTAGATAAAAATTTAACATGCCACCTTTCCATTGATGTTGAGTAAGGCATCTGAAATTAAATGTATTACAAATTACCCCGCCTCCTTCAAATGAAATTCGAACCTAATTCGTCATGATACCCCAGAGTGGTTTCACTGTTTTTGCTCTCTCCCTGGAGGAAGTGGAATATGTAGACGGGGAAGAACAGAGAGCTGAATGACACGGGACCATCATCGCTGGGCCATATGGAAAGAAATGCCTTCAATCCCTCCATGGCTGATGCAGCACATGCTAATAATCCCTTCAGGTGCGAGTAAGATGCAGGCAGTGTTTGCCACTCCACACACACAGCCACAACACCTGGGCCTTCAAGAATTACAACAGGCAGGTTCAGAGAGCCATCTGAGTCTTCCCTCCCATGTCTCCCAAAGCTTGCCACCTGCTCAACTTGCTACTGGCTGTCCCCATGCATTTTCTAATTTCTGGCCACTGAAAGGTTCTCAATTCTCCTGCTCCTGCTATCTACAACTGTGCTTTCCCTTTCTAACCTGTTATCTATAAATTACAATTGGAACCCTCCAGTTTTTTCTGGTCAGTGAGCCAATCATGGCATTCTGTTCCTGGGCCACGCATGGCTAATTTCATTGTTGTGGGTATTTCATAGATACATCTTTTAAAAAAATAGAAAGCCAAGATAGTCATCAAGAAAGCAAGCAAGCAAGACTCTTGAGAGAGAGACCATTTGGTATACTACTGAAAGTGACTGCATTAAATGCTTAACTTTATTTGTTCAAGTAGGATTGTTGGCATTGTTGTGTGTTGTGTGTGGTGTGTGTGTGTGTGTGTGTGTGTGTGGTGTTTTGCTTTGTTTTGGTTCAGACACCCAGTATGTGTAATA